GACGGAAGGACGGACGGAAGGTCGGACGGACGGAGGGACGGAGACTATTACTATATCCTCCGCCGAAAATTTTCCGCGGGGGATAACAAAGGGCAATAACTTAAAAATCATCACGTACAGAGTAGCGGTTTTTGAACACTGCACTTTATCTCAATGAGATTTATCATCCTATGAAGTTTCAAGTCCATAGCTTTTATATAATTATGAGAAATGGCCCGGAAAAAAATAAAGTTTGAAAATGAACAAAGGGCAATAACTCAAAAAATAAGAAGTGAAGATTACCAGTTCTTGTGCACTGCACTTCCCAGGTGAAATGTGTACAATGGTCATGTAGTATTTCATGTTTTTTTTATATCTGAACATATTACTTCTTGGTCATCAGTGAAAAACCATCAAATGCCATGGTCACATCATGGTTTAAGTGCTGAGTATGACCATGTAATAACATGGTCATTTTGTATATCAGTAGGCAATCATGAAAAACCATTGTCTACCATGTAACAAAATTACAGACCATGGTAAAAAGCATTAAACTCACAGTAAATGACCATGAATTACCATGGCGTACTATAAACAAAATTTTTATGTCAGTAAATACCTATATTAATAAACATGGCGTCAAAATCCATGTGTGATTGTCAACAGCATAATATATATGTTTTAAAGTGTTTCAACAATGGAATTAATCACTAATACTAAGCTAACATGTTTCCCAGCACACAGTTTAAATATTTCACAAATGAATCTAACAAATATAATGGAATAAAGATGCAAACACAAGGAAAATATACATGTGGGAAAAGGCGGGAACATGTGAAATACCTATGCAGTGAGAGAAATGTTCACTTGAATAAACTACAGTCATGTACACTTCAGTTGAAAATGGCAGAAAAGAAAACAATTTTCAAGACAAGTTAAGAGTGTGTTGTAAAATTCACACATTGCTTGGTGTTGCTGCAACTGATATTAAATCAGACTTAGACAATGTTTATGGGGATAGTGCCCTATCATATTTCACAGTTAGAAGATAGGTTCGACGTAGAGACTACAAAAGATGCGGCCCGTCCTGATCGTCCAGTCACAACAATGACCGACGAAAATATTGCTGCTGTTAAAACAGTTGTGTAAGATGATGCCAGCTGTACGGTGGAAGAGATAGCTGATTTATGTGGCATTAATTCGCCATCGGTTTTTCAAATATTGACTCACGTGTTAAAGTTGTGCATTTAGGTTTGCGCCCAGTGGATACTTCACTTTCTCAATGAGGACCAAAAACGGGGGCCCATGCGAATTGCATCCTAGCTGCTCAATAGGTACAAAAATGCTGACCAAAACCATATGAATGAATTTGTGATTGGTGATGAAACATGGGTCTATTTTTATGAGCCTGCTCATAGAGCTTGCACCTCAAAACGCATGATGTATGCATTATTTTTTGATTGTCATAAATAGTGGCTCTTTTATTGAGATTAAGTTCTTTCTACTGTTGTAAGTCACTATACTACAGCCCATCCCAATACCCGCGTACGCTGAATTAAACACCTGCATGACAACTAACCTGCCCACAAGTCAGTGGTGGTATAGTAGTATTTTAGCGACAATAGCATTGAAACTTTACCACACCCTGCATACAGCCCAGATCTTGCTTGCAATATTTGGTTAAATCTTTACAGCAAGAACTACATGAGACATCACTGTTTTGAATCTCGGCACGCCATGGGAAGTGCACTTTTCCAGTGTCTAATCACTATACCCAAAGAGGCCTACCGAAAAGCATTTTCCAATTGGATTTGGCGCTTGGGAAAGTGCATCCAAGGGGAGGGGGAATACTTTGAAGGGTTGGTCTAACAATTTCCGTAGTAATTTTACGTCTACGACTAAAGCGCCACACTCATAAATACTTTAAAATTTTAATGCCCCTCGTATTTTCAATTTCAGTACTATTTGAGTTATCACTATAAGGTTATATTTGCCATATTTTTAGTCTATTCAGAGGTCTTTTTTGGCCGATTTTATAGCCGTTATTCGGTCATATTCCCAATTGAAAATAGTACTATGATTTTTTCCCAATTTTGATACAAAAATTCCCATTTGAAAACTTAAAAAAAAAATAATAAAAGAAACCGATCTTTTGGGAACGTAAAATTAAGCAAATAGCCAGTGTCTAAACAACCCACATGTTAAGTAGAGGCTTGATTTCTCAGTATAAGTTTATCGAGCGCCTAACAATACCGATGACCTTCGAAAGTGAAAGTAAATCAAAATGTCTCACACGTTAAAAAACTTTAAACAAGAGGGCCATGATGGCCCTGAGGTCGCTCACCTGTGTATAGGCCCCCCCAACCCCCGCAATGTTGCAGGGCCAATTTAACCCAAGGACTTTTATTTGCACAAACTTGGTAGACACCCATAAGAAGATGTTTCATGCTAAACATCTAAGCTCTAGCTCATTGGGCTTTTTAAAAGAAGATTTTTTTAAAGTTTTTCTATACACATATAGTTAAAAACAATGACACCCCTGGGGCCGGGCCAGTTATGACCCCAGGGCTTTTATTTGAACAAACTTTGTATAGACACTTACTAGAAAATGTTTCATGCTTAATATCTAAACTCTAGCTATTTGGGTTTTTTCAAAGAAGATTTTAGGTTTTTGCTATACACATATAAAGAAAATCAATGACCCCCAGGGCGGGGCCAATTTTGATTCCAGGTTACTTTTATTTGAACAAACTTTCTAGACACTCACTAAAAGATGTTTCATGCTTAATATCTTAACTCTAGCTATTTGGGTTTTTTCAAAGAAGATTTTTTCAGTTTTTGCTATACACATATAAGGAAAATCAATGACCCCCGGGGCGGTGCCAATTTTGACCCCAGGGCTTTTATTTGAACAAACTTGGTAGACACCTATTAGAACATGTTTGATGCTATATATCTTAGCCATAGCTCTTTGAGTTCTTTAAAAGAAGATTTTTTAAGTTTTTACTATATGCATATAGGGAAAATCAATGACCCCCCAGGGCGGGGCCAATTTTGACCCCAGGGCTTTTATTTGAACAAACTTGGTAATCACTTATTAGAACATGTTTCATGCTAAATATCTTATCTTTAACTCTTTTGGTTCTTTAAAAGAAGATTTTTTAAGTTTTTACTATATGCATATAGGGAAAATCAATGACCCCCTATGGCGGGGCCAATTTGGACCCCAGGGCTTGTATTTGAACAAACTTGGTAGACACCTATTAGAACATGTTTGATGCTCAATATCTTAGCCATAGCTCTTTGAGTTCTTTAAAAGAAGATTTTTTAAGTTTTTTCTATGTATATGCATATAGGGAAATCAATGACCCCCTAGGGCGGGGCCAATTTTGACCCCAGGGCCTTTATTTGGACAAACTTGGTAGACACCCATTAGAACATGTTTCATGCTAAATATCTTAGCTCTAGCTTTTTGGGTTCTTTAAAAGAAGATTTTTTAAGTTTTTACAATATGCATATAGGGAACATCAATGACCCCCTGGGGCGGGGCCAATTTTGACCCCAGGGCTTTTATTTGAACAAACTTGGTAAACACTTACTAGAAGATGTTTCATGCTAAATATCTTAGCTCTAGCTCTTAGGGTTTTTTAAAAGAAGATATTTAAAGTTTTTTCTTTCGGTTGCCATGGCAACCAGAGTTCTGCATGGAATTAAATTCTTTGAACAACTTTTAAAGGTGACCACCAAAGGAACATTCCTGTGAAGTTTGGATGAAATTGGCTCAGTGGTTTATGAGGAGATGGCATTTAAAGTAAAAGTTTACGGCCAGACGCCAGACGAAGGACGGATGGACGCGGGACTAAAAGCGATCACAAAAGCACACCCTGTCACTTTGTGACAGGTGCGCTAAAAAGCACTGATAAAGACAGAAAAATTGATTTAATGTTTAAGCAAGCCACTCTCTCTGAAAAGAGTTGTACTTCAAAAATGTTAACATCGAATGAAACTGTAAGTACTATTGAGAAATTGCCTTCAACGGTGACCGTGAGTTACCAAAATGATGTTCCTTCTCGGGGTTTTAAAAGTTCTAGCAATTCTAAAATTTAAAACCAGAGACCTACTTTTGTGAACTAAATCCTATAATATTAGAAAAGGAATATATTTCCTCAGGCAACTTGAAAATGTTGTGAGTTTTTACCCAATTTTGGCCAAAATGCCGCTAAAATTCCCAATCTCAAGGGTATGGGTCATGTTCCCAAAATGTTCCCAAAATACTGGAAAAAACCCTGCTATTAGTTGCCATGGCAACCATATTATTTTAAATTTTGTTTGTTTTTGTTTTACGTCACATCAATACAGTATAGGTCATATTGTGACGTTCCAGCTTTACTGGTGGAGGAATACCTCAGGTGCCCTTCTGTGCATTATTTCAGGCACAAACGGGCACCAGAGTAGAACCACAGATGTTCCATAAGCTAGCTGGATAGCTTCCTCACATGAAAAAATCCAAAGTCCCTGTCAGGATTCAAACCCAAAGCGATGAGGGGCAAGTGGTTTGAAGTCAACAACCTTAACCACTCGGCCACGGACATCCTATAATTTTACATAGGAAGGGAAAAAGAATGCATAATCTCAAGACTGTCATCTACCTTTATTTCAAGTTTCATAAAAAAAAATATTTTCAGATGTTTGAAGGTTACCATGGAATTCAATTTTTGTGGAATGAAGCACAGACAGATTGACAGAAGGACAGGCAAATGAAGGATTAACCTAAAGTCCATCCCGTTTAATCTGCTGAAGACTAAGAAAGTTATCTAACATGGACAATTTAATCTGGCTGTTTCATGATATCAAACTGTAAACAATGTGCTTGAGAAAGTCACCTAGTATATGATCAGTATAACAGTGTTACATCAAAAAGCATCATAACCTTGCAGATTGTGCAATGGTATGAAATACGTATAAAAAAATGTGAGCTTGTAACATCACAAGATTGTATTCATGTTTAAAAAAAGACATACCCTGTTGTCGATTCTGTCTGGAAATCGTACTTGAACTCCGACGTTCGGCTTCCAATAATATTGTTTGCAGAGTATTTGTATATATACCTTGCACCGATGATGTTCACCAAAATCCCTTTGTATGCAAAGCAGATCTGAAAAAAAAAAAGTTTGATCATTTTTATTTGCTGCTGATCTGCTTATATTTTTTGTACATATGCCTTTCTTTAAATGACATTTCTTTTGGTATAAAGAAGAAAACAAGATTACACTTGTGAAAAAATGCTATATGCCACCACATTAATAATAATATGACACTAGGTCATGTCATAAAAATCTAGGTCAGCTGATATCAAAGTTCAATTTACTACTTAAACTGTGCACACATGACCCAAATTTCAAAGCTTTTCATTTAAGAAACAGAAAGAAGGTCACTTGTCAGGAAACAGAAAGAAGGTCACTTGTCAGAATCTAGGTAAACTGATATCAAAGATAAATTTTACTTCTCAAACTGTGCACAATAATGACCCCAATTTCAAAGCTATTCATCAAAGAAAAGGAAAGAAGGTCTGACTTGTCAAAATCGCGTAGGCCCCCCTGCAGGTCCAGGGCAGAGCCCTGGTAGGGACCAGGGGGCAAAGCCCCCTGAAGTGTCTGGGTTTTAATCCTTTTCAGATGGTCTAAAATGCATTCCTTTTAGTGCTTATTAAGATATTATTTTTAAATGATATTGTATTACTTTGACTGGCAGTAACAAAGTTAAGGCAGACTTTAATTTCAATGAAATTAATCAGTATCTATTACTGTAATAATATTACTATTTGATGTGATCCTCGATTGCAAAGAACCCTCGACTACCATAATTAATTTTTTTTTTTGACAAAGTTGACACGCAGCTTGTCCAGGAATATTCATCACCAATGCGGATGGTTCTCCTCATTGATCCGATATTCACATTTACTATGTTCTCTTACCAATTCAAATTAAACTTATTTTTAACATTTTTGACACAGTATTTGATCTTCGAAGCATTGTTGGACTTAATTGCTGCCATTATTTATGTAACAAGAAATGTGTCATCATGCCACGGATGCCCCAGCATGCAGCCAAAATTTCAAATGTTATAATATTTAGTTCCAAATTTGTTTGCACAAATTATTTTTTTCATTCTAGGTTCAAAGCACTTAAAACTGTTCAATGTTAACACAAACCATTTTTATACAATGTTCATTGCACTGAAATTATTCAGTCTTAACCTTTTGAAAATAGCATACTGCATATTTGTAGCCAAAAATTAATGGCTATATACATTGTCAACAAAAGTAATGAGGTGCTGAAACTGAAAGTTCAAAAATTTTTGCCAAACATTCGGGAAAGATATAGTTTGGTCCAAAATCATTCAACTCATGACCAAATTCAAAACTTTAAACTGCCTTATTCCTAAGATGGCATGCTATAAGTTATTTTCAAAGTAAAGAGGGACATTAACTCTGCCAAAAATCATCGAACGCAATGAGCCAAATTCCCAACTTGACCTGCACATTCCAAAAACATATCCATATGTCAAATTTGAGTTGAATGTTTAATACTGTTGGGGAGGTAATAAACGGAAACTGAAAATTTCATATTATTTTAAAAGTGAAAGGGGCATAACTGTACCAAAAATCATCAAACCATGACCAAATTTGAACTTGACCTGCGCATTCCTTTGACTTATCCATATGTCAAATTTGAGTTGAATGTGTAATACTGTTGGGGAGGTAATAAACGTAAACTGAAAATTTCATAATATTTTAAAAGTGAAAGGGGCATAACTCTGCCAAAAATCATCAAACCATGACCAAATTTGAACTTGACCTGCGCATTCCTTTGACTTATCCATATGTCAAATTTGAGTTGAATGTGTAATACTATTGGGGAGATAATGAATGACAACTGAAAATTTCATATTATTTTCAATGTCATCAAACCATGACCAAATTCAACCTTGACCTGTATTTTCTCATGACATATTCATATGTCAAGTTTGAGTTGAATGTGTTGTACCATTGGGAGATAATGAATGACAACTGAAAATTTCATATTATTTTCAATGTGAAAGGGGCATAACTCTGCCAAAAATCATCAAACCAAGACCAAATTTGAACTTGACCTTTGCATTCCTTTGATGTATCCATATGTCAAGTTTGAGTTGAATGTGTTGTACCATTGGGGAGTTAATGAACGGAAACTGAAAATTTCATATTATTTGCAAAGTAAAAGGGGCATTTCTCTGCCAAAAATCATCAAACCATGACCAAATTTGAACTTGACCTGTATTTTTTCATGACATATCCATATGTCAAGTTTGAGTTCAATGTGTTGTACCGTTGGGGATATAATGAACGGAAACTGAAAATTTCATATTATTTTCAAAGTAAAAGGGGCATAACTCTGCCAAAAATCATCGAACCATGACCAATTTCGAACTTGACCTGTATTTTCTCATGACATATTCATATGTCGAATTTGAGTTCAATGTGTGCAACGGTTATTAAGATGATGAACAGAAACTGATGATGACAGAAGGACGGAATGACGGAACAGGGTAACACTATATGCCCCTGCCATTATATGGCGGGGGCATAAAAAATATTGTTCTTGCTAATCCGCCAACAATTTGTTTTGTTTTTCTTAACTTCAGAAAGACGCTACGATTGGTCGGTACACATAACTTTATCGTTTATTGGCTTACTATAAGAGCGACAATAACTTAGCATACCGGAAAAGTGTTATGGTCTAAATATTTACAGTACGGTCTAAACATTTACAATCGGCCCACAATAGACGGTTGCAAATTTGGCGAAAAAGAAACCCCCACCCCACAAATTTAATTTTATTATAATTATAAAGATCCGCAGAAATTTGGCATCCCTGATGTAAACAGTATAATTATGTAAAATGCTGTGAAATTTTTGACGATGATGCCCTAAACGTTTCCCGCCATAGGCCAATTGTTACATCGATTGAATTTACTAAAAACAGCAATTTAATAGACACAAGGATGAAAGCTGTAGAAACTCAGCTGTATCCAAAATAAATTAGGAAGAAGTCAAAGAGAGTGACAAAGATAATTATGTATCTGCTATTAAAGCAAACAGTGAATTGCTTCAACTGAATCATAATATGAGTTAAATCGGTCAGATGTCGATAATGCATATAGGACTGTAAAAATGCGACTTTAAACTCTTGCATAATTACCATGTGAATCAGTGTCTTAGACAATAAGATCATGAAATTGACAAAACAGCTGAGGCTGATTCCGATAAATTCTAGAAAAAAGACTGTCCTCAGGCTTTTGACCGAGTCTGGCATGATGAAATATTGTATAAGCTGATAGAGACTTGTGTCTACGACACATAAATAATAGCATTTAAAGAAATTTACCGTAATATTTTAAGATATGTTCAGAATCAGGGATAGTATATCAGACATTTTCCCAATTTTGCTGGGAAGCAGACAAGGAAGTAAAAGCTCACCAGTGCTTTATCTTCTCTACATAAATGGTCTTATTAATGAACTTGACCTTCAAGGTAGCGACCCAAATGTTGCATGCCAGACGACCATTCAATATGGTGATCATCTCTGCGAAATAGTTGTTAAATCTGACTTAAAGTAACAAAGTTATGGGCCGGACACGATTTTGCTGCAAGGTCATGCTGTGACCTCGACCTTCAAGGAAGCTACCCAAATGTTGCGCGCGACACCTCATATCAATATGGTGATCATTTCTATAAAACAGTTTTAAAATCAAACTTAAAATAATGAAGTTATGGACCGGACATGATTTTGCTGCAAGGTCATGCTGTGACCTTGACCTTAAAGGTAGCGACCAAAATGTTGTGCGCCTCACATTGTCTCAAAATGATGATCATTTCTGTGAAATAGTTTTAAAATCTGACTTCAAATACCTAAAGTTATGGGCCAGATACAAATTTGGGAGGTACGAACTGACAGTCTGACGGACCTTGATCTTTGACATAGAGACCTGGTTCATGCACCCTACACAGCTTCTCATAGAAATAAATATTTCAATGAAGTTTTATTAAAAAATGAGATATGCTCCAGAAAATAAAATGGACAGCGCCTGCCTGCCAGCCAGACAGGCCACCTCCCATCTGCCCACCAGGGGCGTTCCTATAAATTACGACCCTTTTTTGAAACAGGCGTACAAAATGTGTCAAAGACAGAAATGTCTGTGTTGCATTTGTGCATTAAACCTAGTATGATGAAACTGGTCAGCATGTATTGTTGTGCACCTGGGGGTTTCCCTTGAAGATTTATCCAATATTTCTAGAGTTATAGCACTTGACTTAATAAAAACCATTCCATGTGTTATGTTGTGTTATTTGATCCTTAAGTGCTTGAGTTTGAATCAATCATCTTTACAGGAGTAATGATCAACATCACTTTAAAGCTTTGCACATGGGATTTTGCATGTGGATTTTTTCAGTTTTTGTGGATTTATTGTGTTTTGTCCCAAGTTGAGTTATTGCCCTTGATTTAATATATATTTGCAATTTTCATTTTGTTCATGCATAGCTCAAAAAGTATTTGGCCTGTAGGCCTGAAAGTTAACAGGAATGTTGGTCAGCTTGGGTTCTGATGCGTTTGGGGTTTGCTTGTGATTTTTTCAGTATTTGTAAAGTTCTTGCCCTTTAAGTAGAACTAGACCTATCACTGAAGGTGATTAATACCCCCACCAGCAACTTTGACTTTTGAAAAATAAGTTGTCTGAAGAAAAATTTGAAATAAACCTACAGTAAATAAAATTTCAATTTATTGCAATTCCAACTATCTTGATCTTGATATAAGCTTGCTATACACCAAGTTTGATAACAATATCTCATTCCTAACCCTAGTAATTGTCTGGAAACCCTTTTTCTATTTTTAGTAACTGTGACCTTGAACCCAGGGAGTCCAAATGCAATACCAAGCGCAGTCTTCATGTAAGCTTGCTAAACACCAAGTTTGATTACAATATCTCATTCCTAACTTTAGTTATTGTCCGGAAACCATTTTTCTATTTTTAGTAATGGTGACCTTGACCTTGGCCCAAGGGGGGGTCCAGATGCAATACCAACCGGGGTCTTCATATAAGCTTGCTATATACCAA